AGGCCTGTATCTCAGGAAGGATGGTGAATGATTGAACTGAGGAAAAGGAACAAAATGATGAATGAAATAAAAAATGAATGGGTTTCTCAGGAGAACAGCAACAAGACAGAGGATTTGATTGCTTTCTTCAATACCTGGAAGCCCCTTTGATCCTGAAGTCCAGGTCCAATCAGGTAGATCTCACGGAAGAGAAAGACATGGCCTGCTGGTCTGCAGACTTACATACTCCCATTGCCGGCGGTGAATCTGCACCTCAGACACGACACTCTCAAAGCTGAACTCGCATCCTTACCCTTCGATCCTATTTTCCATTGCACCAAGTGGTTCCACTACTCATCTCTCGGGCATCTCAGCCAGCAGTCTTGGGCGTCACCTTTCACTATCTTCTCCTGTCCCCATGTTCCCAGATTCCCGTCTGATATTCTGAACAAGTTCTGTTATAAGTGGCTAAAAATCTTAGCCTATTCAACTGGTAGGCTGCTCTGTAGCCAAACTCTAAACAACCCTCCCCCACAACACCCCACCTTTAAGGGCTGGATTCTGTTCCTAGAATCCCAAGTATCTACTTGGTCAGTGACCTGTCATAACTGGAAGAACCAGAATATATACCCACCTGTCTTTGCTGAGTAGCTCCCCCATCCCCTTAATCTTCTTGAGCCACACCCAAGCTGTTAACTTACTCTGCTCTTGGCATGTCCTTACTAGGCCACTCTCCGTCTCTAAAGCCTAGCACAGAACCTCAAAGAGGCTCAGGAACTGTTTGATGGGAAGTGTGTAGCAGCCATCCAATCTCGGCTGGTCTCCATTGTTACCAGTGTCCCCACCACCCCGTCCCACCTTCGAGAGGACACTTGGGAGCCAACGAAGTCCCCAGGCTAGAAACTCCATCAAGGAACATGGAGTGGTATCTCTCAGGCCCCCACACTTAGTTCTAAGCTCTTAATCATCTGTGATCCTGATCTGATGGTTTCTCAGTCTTGGTTTTCCTATCGGGTGCCTCTCAGAGCTGCCTCGGGGATCAGTTAACAGCTGATGGGCACCTCCTGAGGGGCATGTTGGTGCATCCCAGCCAATCAGTGGGGTGGCTGTGCACCAGCATCACTCAGAGGGCTCCCTAAAGCAGAGTCCTGGGTCTCACCCTGCGACTTCTGGTACATTAGGTCAGAAGAGTGAGCCTGAGAATATGCATTTCTAACAAGTGCAAAGTGGTATCTGTCTTAACTCCTTTGGGCTGCTACAACAGAACACGATACACCACTTATAAACAACAGAGAATTACTTTTACAGGTCTGGAGGTGGAGAAGTCCAAAACCATGGTCAAAATCAAGGTGTCAGTAGATCAGGTATCTGGGGAAAGCTTGTCTCCTGGTTCCCACACGTGTTTTCTTCCTGTGTTCCCAACACAAGGGGCAGGGGAGCTCTTGAGCTCCTTGGTGTCCTGTTTATTAGGGCACTGGTACCACTCATGACAGCTCCACCCTGTGGCCTCACTGCCTTCCAGACTTCAGCTCCAAATCCCGTCACATTGAGGATTATGCCTCTGTCTCACAGGGGTAGGGAAACGCCCAGCCCGTGGGCCATATGAGGTCCATGAAATCATTGGATCTGGCCTTGCCGATGCAACTGCAGGTGGGACTCCAAGTTCAATCATGCTATAGCAGGCTCATTTTTAAGTTGCTATCATTTTGTATGGCCTGCGAATGATGTTATGAATGTCCAAAATGGACAAAAAGGATCCCCACCCTGCTCCAGTCGACAGCAGCATGGGTGCTGCTGGTCCAGGGCCCTTCCTTGCCTGCTTCAGCACCACTGCTTGGAGCACTGCTCTCTGCATGCAGACCCTGTTCTCCCCCACGAAGCACACTATTTCAATACATGATTTCGTGTTTATGTTTTACCCTTTTTGTTGTTTTGTTGGAATCTTAACCCAGCCTGTAAATTCCTCTGGGCAGAAATTATACCTTCCACGCTCCACACTCTCATTTTCTGTTTTGTAAAATAATGAGTACATTTTCAGCGTGATTAATAATAGAGTAGAGAAAGGGGAGAAAAAACTCGGCCTACCAGTGCCAATAAGGAGCCTCTACAAATGGATATCAGCTCGGAAAGTCTCTTAAAAATTCATTATGAGGCAAGAATCGTTCCACCATCGGGGACAATGCAAGAAAGATTATTTTCTTGATGACACATCTTGTAGAATGTGGGTTATTCAAGATTTCAGCCATAACTTACTTAAACACTAACATTTCTTGAAATATAATACCACCAACAGCATTTTAACTCATAATTTTTATAGTGATAGCCACGCTATTGTGTTTTCAACTTGTAAAATCCATTACACAGTTGTGGCAACAGTTTGCAGTAGATTGTAAATTTTTATTGAGATGATCATCTTGTGATTGAATTTCAAAATGTATTACCTGATCATCAGCAAATAAGTCCATGGGGGCTGCTAAGGTACTTTGAATATCATTTATAATGATCAAAAACCCTGAAAACCCTTACACATACCCTGTGGAAAGAGAGAAATCTCATCAGCAGGATCAAATCAATTATTTTTATGGATGAATATCGCATTGCAAAGCTGAGATAAGGTATAACAAGTTTAATAACATACCCTTATGTCCTTTTAAAATAGTAAGTTTCATTATCAGGTTTCAATGAAGAATTTCACCAAAGACCTGCTTTTAAAATAATCAAGAAAATAGTATCTCTTTTCATCACTGTGGTTCAATAACCTTCAAAGGAACATTTCTAAACCACAAAAACACTCGCTATGCTTGGGTTACACGCTACCAACACACACTACTGAGATATTGAAGAATGGTTGCACTGAGTTCTAGTATAATGCTTGCTTTGAAAACATCAGTGTGGTGTAACACGAATGACATACCATGTACCAGTTCGGGCACACCATGAGTTGTGCATTTGCTAAGGTGTGATCTAAGGGAAGTAGAAAACTGCACTTGACTAAACTGAACCAGGTAGGAACACACAAAATAGACTGCACACACGCCCAGCACCCACCTGGCCCCTCAGGCTCACCACGTGCATTGGGAGCCTCTCCGTCTGCACCTGGTGGTACCGGCTGCCACCGACCACGGCCAGCCTTGCTTCCACACTACACCATAACCCACAGGCTGCCACCTTTCTAACACCTACCTTCATGAGCAAACTTCAAGTCTTCAAGGTAACCTGCTATGTGTTTTGTAGGATTTATGCATTTCTTAGCCATTAGACATGTTTAAATTTTGCCATCATTTCTATTAGATATCTCATTTTTTTTTTTTTTTTTTGACAGGCAGAGTGGACAGTGTGAGAGAGAGACAGAGAGAAAGGTCTTCCTTTGCCGTTGGTTCACCCTCCAATGGCCGCCGCGGCCGGCGCGCTGCGGCCAGCGCACCGCGCTGATCCGATGGCAGGAGCCAGGAGCCAGGTGCTTTTCCTGGTCTCCCATGGGGTGCAGGGCCCAAGCACCTGGGCCATCCTCCACTGCACTCCCTGGCCACAGCAGAGGGCTGGCCTGGAAGAGGGGCAACCGGGACAGAATCCGGCGCCCCGACCGGGACTAGAACCCGGTGTGCCGGCGCCGCTAGGCGGAGGATTAGCCTAGTGAGCTGCGGCGCCGGCTCTATTAGATATCTTGTTTTTTAATGTGTCACTGATGACATAGGAGTGTGCTGCTCTGGGCCTCGTTTCTTCCTTCAACTTCCATAGTTTTTATTGACTAACTTGGCACGGTGTGGTGGTTTTTACGGACACATATGCCTGGCTGTTACACAAACAACTATGCTTCACTAAGCTTTTTGTGGTACAGTTGTTGTACTGATGGATCCAAAAGCCACCCATGACTCCTTATCCCATACGGCTCATGCCGCCTGCTTCCCCACTCCATACAGTAGCCCCAGCTCCGGCCACAAAGCCAAAGACACTTATTTCTCTATTTACTCATCATGGTGTAACCAAGGATCAAGGACACTGAGTAGACAACCGAGTGCAAACCCGGCTGTGCGACCAGGGACCATGACTATGACTTGGGATCAAAAGTTTTCAAATACTGTGCCTCTAGTCCTTCATGTTTACATGTGGGAAGAGTACTGTGAACGGTCACTTAGAGTGATAAAACTAGCTAAGACATACGATGCAATTTTTAAAAAATAGATAGCAAGCTATTTTAACATCTTGGGTCACAACCAGAGCCCACAGCAGCTCAGAGATACGTTAAAATCCACAGTCCCAAGTAGCAGTCCCTTTCTGGGCACACAGTGGAAGCCAGGAGGTTTCAGGAATAAAACTGGAACCAAGGGAGCCTCCGAGACACAGTCCTAGCCAGCACATTCTGAAACACCATCCAGGAACATCAGACACACAGTTGGATCCAGGAACCCACAGAGTTCTGAGAAGCCAGAGGCTCTTGGAGGAACAGGCCCAACCGTGACTCGGAGCAGGAGCCCCCAAAGGCTGAAGAGTCTGAGAGTTCTTAGGGATTAAGGTAGTTCCAGAACCAGTCAGGAGAAACTGGAGCCACCAGGGACACTGCCAGAATCAAAGGTCACAGGCTCAGCCCAGGGATTTGAGGGGTGAAGTCGGAATCACAAGCACTGACAAGATACAACTGAAGCCAGAAGCCCTCCAGGGTACAGTCTAGATGAGACCTTCCAGGGCAGAGCCAGGAGCCCTCAGAAACAGCAACAGGGACCCTCCTAGACACTATGAGCAGCGGAAGCCTCAGCCATGCACACGGGCACTGGGAGCCTTGGACAGACACACCAGCCTCCTATCAGAAACACTCTCAGAAGCAGGAACACTTCCAGAATTCAGGGAGTTCTCTGAATCACACTCAGAATCCCCAGAGACACAACCCAAGACAGGAGGTCCTTGAGGGCAACACCCAAACCTCGACTGTCTCATTCCGCAACAGGAAGCTCCCTCCCACCAAAGAGACGTAGGAACAAGCCCCAGACCAGCATCTCAACATGGAGCGAGAAGGAAGCTCTTACCAGCACACTTGGTCCTGGTGGTGAGGGGAGGCCCTGGTGGCCCCGTGCCCCCCTCGCCCGGTCGGGTGAGCAGCACACGGATCTCGTACTCCACGTCAGGGTCCAGGTGCCACAGCTTGTAGTTGGGAGAGTCGACGATGTGGGTCTCAGCCCAGGTGCCAGTGGTAGTGCGGTATTCCACCTCCTTCAGGATGATGGGGCCGTCTCCGATGATGGAGTTGGCATTGGGCTTGATCCACAGGTAGGTGGCCCCCACGGCCAGCAGCTCCGGGGGGGCAATGGGCGTGGGAGGCTCTGAAAGGCAAGCAATCAGCAGAGGACTCTCAGTGGTTTGCACAGCAGAATCCAAGCTCATGTGGACAAGTGGCAGAATTCCAGACACAGTCATATAAAAGAGCAAAAGACCTTTGTAAACCCCACACACCTCTCACTTTCTCACTTTCTAAAAAAGATTTACTTAAGAGGCATAGTTACAGAGAGAGGGAGAGAGAGACAGAGTGCAAAGGTCTTCCATCCACTGGTTCATCCCCCCCAAATAGCCACAACAGCCAGAGCTGAGCTGAGCTGAAGCAGGAGCCAGGAGCTTCTTCTGGGTCTCTCAGGTGGGTGCAGGGGCCCAAGCACTTGGGCCATTTTCTACTGCTTTCCCAGCCCCTCAGCAGAGAGCTGGATAACAAGTGAGCAGCCAAGACTTGAACTGGCGCCCATATGGGATGCCAGTGCCACAGGCAGTTGCTTAATCTGCTATGCTACAGCACCTAGTCCCCCATCCCCAACTTTTTTTTTTTTTGTGACAGGCAGAGCTAGACAGAGACAGAGAGAAAGGTCTTCCTTTTTCCGTTGGTTCACCCCCCCCCCAAATGGCCGCCATGGCCAGCGCACTGTGCCGATCTGAAGTCAGGTCTGAAGTCAGGAGCCAGGTGCTTCTCCTGGTCTCCCAGGGCCCAAGCACCTGGGCCATCCTCACTGCCCTCCCGGGCCACAGCAGAGAGCTGGACTGGAAGAGGAGCAACCAGGACAGAATCCGGTGCCCCAACCAGGACTAGAACCCAGGGTGCCGGCACTGCAGGCAGATGATTAGCCAAGTGAGCTGCGGCGCCAGCCTCTCACTTCAGTTTTCAACAAATACAATACCTCCTTCACTGAAAGAAGGCAAAGAAAGAAGGAGGTATAAGGAAATGGTTTTTCCAGAGCACAGAGAAGCTGTTTGAGTGAAGATTCTTCCTCTCACCTGCAAAGGAAAACCTAGCTGCACGAAACCACAGTTCAGTTCACAATCCAGTCTGAGATGTGCAAACACAGCCCAAGTAGGACCACAATGATCATTAACAGACATTCTCCCCAAACCGTGATAGAAAGAACAGAGCTCTCACTCAACCCTGGTAGGTTCCTTCCAGCAGAGTGCCAGTTGCCAGAGAACACTCAGAATTAAGGGTCAAAGGATCATCTTGTATCTGCTCTGTGCTGCCACCTCTCTTCCATTAAGTTTCACGCGGTTAGGTAAAATTGCAACAGGCTTTTATAGTGGCTTCTTTCTGGCAATCCTTAACCCACTGGCAAAGCTGCAGAAATTAAATACTTATTTTGTTCTTCCTACATACCAGGAAAATTGACATGCATTATTTCACGTGATTTGGGTGACAAAATAATGACTTCTATTTTGATGGGGAAAAAAGAATTTTAGAATGCAAGTGATCAGGTCATGTAACCACATTCGTGGAGCAGGTATGGAGGGTGAAGGCCATGCCTGTGTAACTTCTTGGCCCAGGTCTCTGCTTGCAAGGTTGTCTGCCTCTTGGTACTCATTTTCTTTTAATCAAACTGGATGTTATTGCTTGTATTTAACAAAGACAGCAGTGTAAGAACAAAGAAAATGAGAAGAGAGGCTACATCCCGATTTGCTACCACCCCTTATAACAGCCAGTTTTATTTCTCCATATTCTATTCCAACTTTAATTCACGAACCTTTTTTCATGTGGTTACAACAACTCATAGACCTAGTGTGTATTTGTCTTCCCTCACTATGTGATGAGGACCTTACTTGTGACATGAAGTTTACTGTCATTGTCTCTGATAGCTGTGAAACAATCCATCAAGTTCCCACACTAACCATTTTCCAGGTTTGCTATGGTAAATGATCTGCACTAAACATTGTGCAAATGACTTCAGCTCTTGTCTTTGTTTTTAGGGCTAAATCCCAGGGATTGGATTATATCAAGGAGTATGAACAAGTCAGCAATCCTAGAGAATGAAGTAGAGTGAAGGATGCATTTAAGGGCAAGTTCAATGCAGATTTTGTTTGAGAACATGTTACTTTTGGGAGGTTTCTGTACTCCACATATTAACAAAGGCAGGTATGAATTTTAGCTTGGAACTCAGGCGAAGGTCTCAGGGTAGAGACTCATTCAGCATTCCCCTTCTATTAATTACCTAGCAGCAAAGATTCTCCAGAAACAGAATAATTGCTATAAAACAGGGGTGGACAATATTTTCTCAGTATGACTTGAAACAAATCTTCAGGGACAACTTCGGATTGCCACTATTATAGCCTTCCATTTGGTCGGAGAAGGAAATAAAGCAGATAGCCAAGCTGGATGCTCTTCTTTACAAAGCCATGGAGGTGATTACTCGAGACCTTGTTATCTCAAAGGTGTTTGCAAATTGATTTTTGGATAATTTGTTCCAGGTAGAGAAGTTAAGTTGGCAGACAAATAATTTCTGGGCTCATCCTTTGTGCATTTTAAATGTATAGACCCTTTGATCACCATTATCAAGTCTCCAGGGTTCCCATCAGGCTCCAATGAGGCCCCGAGGGTGATATTTTGTAGCTCTGTGATGACTCTGCCTAATTCCTTAATATAATTATTCATAGGCTGGCCCTGGACAGAATTAAGAAGAGCAGACTTCAATACTTTGGGGGATGAGCAAGTGGCCACATTAAGCTCTCTTCCATCTACTTTTCACCATGTTTTTCTGCTCTACTTTTTCAGGCACTAGCAGTTTTCAGATATGGACTATCAAAAAGAAAATAATGTGTTAAATTTTCAAAATGCTTAATCTCATCTCATGTATTCCTGGGTACAAACCTAACAATAAATATCCCCTTGGTTATATAAATGTCTGCATTTCACCTCGCAAGTCCACAAAGTCACGTGCAGAGTAGAGACTAGCCATTGTGGTTCTCTCTCCCTCTGTCCCCTCAAGAATACGCCATGCAGGTTCATCACAGCATTTCCTGTATCTGGCACGAAGAAGCCATGAGGCTGTGGCTCTGTTTTGTCTGTTCTTTTATTTAGTGATCCACTGGTTTAGAATTGCTATTCTTTAGGAAACACACCAACTGGAGAGTCAGAGAGGGAAGCAGAAATGAAACACAGAATGATGTTTTATCTTAATCATATCATTTTATAAAAGGTTTATGGGGCTGGCGCTGTGGCACAGTGGGATAAAGTCCCAGCCTGCAGTGCCGGCATCCCATATGGCCACCGGTTCGATTCCTGGCCACTCTACTTCCCATCCAGCTCCCTGCTAATGCACCTGAGAAAGCAGTGGAGGGTGGCCCGAGTCTTTGGGCCCCTGCACCCACGTGGGAGACCCAGAGGAGACTCCTGGCTTCAGATCAGCTCAGCTCCGGCCATTGCGGCCATTTGGGAAATGAACCAGCACAGGGAAGACCGCCCCCCCTCCCTTTCAAAATACATAAATCTTTAAAAAAATTTTTTAAAAAAAGATTTATTTGAAAGAGTTAGAGAAAGAGAAATTTGCCATCTGCTGGTTTACTCCCCACGTGGCTGTATTGGCCAGGGCTGGGCCAGGCTGAAGCCCGAAGCCTAGAACTCCATCTGGGTCTCCCATGGGGGTCGCAGGAGCCCAAGACTATAGCCATTACCTGCTGCTGAGATGGCACTGGCATCAAAGCACCACAAGAACAAGAACCTGTGAGGCCACCTCCAGGGCCTGGGCAGCAGCTGTCCCTGAGGCTGTGGCCTGCCTTCTCCATGTAGATGGCGAGGTGACCCCTTAATGGAATTCCACCTCATCCTCAGGCAGCAATCTCTAGACCGATTCTGTCTGTCTTTTCCCTGCTGTGAGCACTTGTAACAGTTTCGCTCCTCAGAAATTCCTACAGAGAGAAAAAGCGCTTCAAATAGCTGGAGATGGAGCCTTACACGGATGTGTTGTCTGCTCCAGACAGAAATCAAACATTTGGAGAAAAACTGAATGCTACTGAGATGTGAAATGAGCTTGGATTTGGTTAAGGTGCTAATCAACTGGCCTCCAACACTCTCCAGCCCAGCCCAGCTCAGACCACCCAAACACCCTTCTCTTTACCTTGCATTTCTCTTGCTGACCCATACAGGTGTGAGGGACTACCCCCAACCCACCCCAGCTGCCCACACAGACACACCCCGCACAAGTGGACACACCTCACTCCTCACTCCCACCCTTCTGCAGGGGCCATTTCTCCCAACAGGAACAGCTTTCCTTTTTACCCTTCTCTAAACCAGGCCTGGTGTTCTTTTCACACCTGCTGCCTGGCTACTTAGTTTTGTGGAACAAGAGCACGGAGTAGATGTTCAAAAGCTTCAAGCTGATTAAACTTCCTACTCATTTGCATGCAACAAATGGCGTGACAGAGATTTTACGGGGAATGAATTTTATAGGTAGATAATTTGTGGTCCATTTTCACAGCCAACAGAAAAACAGTTCAGAATTATGAATAAAAAATGCAGATAAAAGTTACTAGTTCTTCTTGGGAGAAAAGTTACATTCTGGGCACCTTGGCATACATCTGCACCATGACGTCTAAGATGAGGGACCTGAGATATCACAAGGACAGGTCCTACTGGATGGTGAGCAACCACAGTCCTCTTTCTCAACTAAAAGCCTACAAGAGGAGCATGGTCTTAAGACAGACTGAACTACACTAAGGGCCCAAACCCTGGGGCCGGTGCGGTGGTGCACTAGGTTAATCCTCCGCCTGCGGTGCCAGCATCCCATATGGGCGCCGGGTTCTAGTCCCGGTTGCTCCTCTTTCAGTCCGGCTCTCTGCTGTGGCCCGGGAAGGCAGTGGAGGATGGCCCAAGTGCTTGGGCCCCTGCACTCGCATGGGAGACCAGGAGGAGGCACCTGGCTCCTGGCTTCAGATTGGCACAGTGCCAGCCGTAGCGGCCATTTGGGAGGTGAACCAACGGAAGGAAGACCTTTCTCTCTGTCTCTGTCTGTAACTCTGTCAAATTAAAAAAAAAAAGCCCAAAACTGAGCTAGGAGTGTGTTTTTTTTTTTTTCCTCCA